CTCAGCACGGAGCAGAGCAAAGGGCCGCCGCTAATCTTCATTAAGCCCCTCATTAGGCAGCTCGGCAGCCACGGTGATGGAGGCGATGTGGCAGCTGGGGGGGGGGATGTTACAGCTGAGTTCTCCCCTTGGCCCCAGAGACAGCGGCACCGTGCACAGCATCCCCCGAGGGGTCCATGCAGACCATCACAGCAGGGGAGGTCCTTGCTCAGGCACCCACAAAGCGGGGTAGGGGTGTCACCAGCTGCAAGGGGGCTCGATTGGCTCCAAACTGCCTCTCCCCAGTGAGCCCATGGCCCCTGCCCAGTACAGGGAAGATCAGCACCCGCTGCGCTGAGGACCCCCCTTTGATGCCCACCCCAGCAGCCCCCACTATTGAGGGGTTTCCAGCCTTCCCTGTCACCCACAGACATGAACAGTGAGGGGCAGCTTCCCATGCCAACAGCCCAGAGCAGCACCAGTGGCTCTTTGCAGAGAGAAGAACCAACCCCCCCTGGCTGTGCAGTGCTCCCTTCCCCAGGAGACAGGGCTGACTCGCCGGGGAGGCAGAGTGATCGCACCCCCAGGAGTGCGTGATTCATGCCCCAGTCACAAAAATACGGAGATTTTATTCTCCGGTACAAAAAAAACCCCATAAGGGGAGCTTGGTGCCTGCTCCACACACACACACACACACAGACACAGACACACGCATCCCGTGAGCGGCCCCACGCCGCAGCCCATGCGTTCGCACCCGCGCCCACGGCCGTCCTCCCGCTCCGCTCATGATTCACGTGGGGCGAGCGGCAGCGAGGGGAGATATTTTGAAGCGGGAGGATGAGGCACTGCCCACACCCCTTCTGCTCGCGCGAAAACACGCGTGCGCCCCCCGCGCAGCCGCGGCCCTGGGGATGGATCCGGGCTGATTGCTATGGGTGGCGCCGATGCCACCCCCCCAGCTGCCCCTGTGCATGCCCTGAAGCCCCTCTGTGCTGCACCCCAGAACAAACTCACCCTGGGGACATTTGTCCAGCTCCCCTGGTGACACGGGAGCAGCTCAGCCTGAGTTCACACAGAGCCATTGGCTTCTCCCAGTCGCCTTGCAGGGATTATAACACCCACCAGCTGCAGCCACGGCCCTGGGATCTGCAGCCAAAGTCGGGCTCTCTTAATTAGCAGAGGTGCTCGTTAAGACAAGCACATGCTCCATAAGCCCGCTTTGTAGGCGTGCCTGCTGCCTTGATGCTGGCACCGCTTGTGAGCCCAACCCAAGCAAGGCCACACCACAAACAACCCCTGAGCCCACCCATCACCCACTGTGGGGACCCCAAGGGTCTCCCCAGCTCCGGCTGTTGGGAAAGTTGGCTCCAAGGGGGGAAATCTGGTCCTGACCGAAGCGGTGACGGCTCCTGCATGGCGAGGAAGATGAGGATGGAGCAGAGAGGGAGGTCCAACCACAGCGCTGGGTCCCTTGTGAATCATTTTATTTTCACTGCTGAGGAGAGTAGGAGTGAAAATACCATTAAGTTGAAATCAGTCGAGAACTACATATGTCTCTAGATATATCTGTACAGTCTACCAGTATATATACACATTATATATAAATATATACATAGGGTCTCCGGGTTTAAGGTTGAAACCTGTCGAACCCAATAAAGCCCACTGGAGGAAGATTCGAAGAAGAGATTTTTATCATGAAAAACCAAGCCTGAATTAGCATGGGGGATTTAATGAACCCCTCCAGTGCTGGGAAGCAGGGAGCACCCAGCTCGGGGGTCACTGGTGTGTCCCCAGGCTGCGGGGAGCATCCCTGTCCCATTTGTGGGGAGCAGGACATGGTGCCCATCTCAGAGAAGGGCCAGTTTTGGTGGCTGAACACAAAGAAGGTAACGGCTGCTTGCTTTGGTTTATTGCTTTAATGCTTATTTCAGTTGGTTGTTGGTTTTTTTCCCCCTCTAATGCTTGGCCTTCAATCTAATTCCTGAGATTCAGGAAGAAGAAAAGAGAACAACACCCCGCTAAACCCGGACACCCTATATATGCAGGTACAGCTATCAAAGAGGGAAGCGATACATGAAGGGGGAATAAAAAATAGCTTTATCCAAAAGAGTAATTCTTTCCTTTTCTTTTCCTTTCTTCTAAAAAAAAAATAGGCTAAACCGGTCATGTGTGTTTGGTTCAAGAAAGCTGCTGAGTTTAAAACTTCCAGGAGGTGGGAGTCAAGGCAGGAGGGACCATGAGAGCAGAGCAGAGACCACAGGGATCAACCCAGCCCTGGCAGAGCCCGACTTTACACCCACATCAGCATCTGGACCCCAATACCTAAATCCGAGGGTGCTGGCATCACCGCAAAGCATCTGGCTCCGCTCTGCCCCAGGGCAAGTTGTTGGCATCGGGGTCCCACAGATTTTGGGTCCTGCCTGTGTCGGGGAGGGCAGGGTTTGGCTGGAAGCAGCAGCAGCATCTCCGCAGCATTGGGGGGTGGGAGGATGCGGGATGCTGGGAGGATGCGGGATGCTGGGAGGATGTGGGATGCAGCACTGGGGGTTGAAGCTGCTGGTGGGAGCCTGGGAGGGATGAAAGCTGGGGAGGGGCTGGTGTTGCAAAGGAGGGTGCGTGACGCATCGCTGCGGGGAATCCTCCCTGCTCCCTCCTGCCAAATTCACAACCCTTGGCCAGGAGAGCGATGCAGAGCCAAGGCCAAAGCCCCCTGGGAGGGCCCAGGTGGGAGGAGCACGTCCCTCACCCGGGTCCCTGGGCCGTGGCTCTGGCCACGAGGTGTCGTTGCCGGTCCTGCCGGCCAGGCCCTTCCTGCACACATCCTGCTCCCCTGCACCCTCGTCACAGCAGCCCAGGGCATCCCTGCTCCACCAGAGGACATCAAAAGCTCATGGGGTGCAGCCACCCAGAGCAATGATAAGACCCAAGTTCTGCAGCCCCTGGGCTCCCTCATCAGCTCCATCCAGAGATGTTTTTGGCTTGGACCAAACCCCACCTCCTGAAACTCTGCCGGGTGGAAGTGGGGGGACAGAGCCAGCCCCAGGGCTGGTCTGGATAAAGGCAGAGCCCACGGGCAGGGAAATGGGGGGAGCGTGGCAGCCACCTTGGGGCTGATGCTGCAACCTGGGGTGGCTGCTGCCCTGCAGACCGTGGTCCCCAAGGATGCAAATGCCACGCGTGTCCACGGCCACTGCAGGGGAGGAAAGGGAAAGGCAAGAGGGATGGAGGCGGGGGTGAGGGACACAAATGGGGTCCCACGTATTAAACACCGACGGGGGTCGAGTCTCTGTGCAAAGCCAAGTCCTGGGAGAGGCGCAGGGTTAGAAAACCACGGACTGCAGGAGGCGGAAACACATCATCAGGTCCAAGGGGATGGGGGGTTTCAGGAGGTTCCCGTCCAGCCGCAGGTACCGGAGCCGGGGGACGCTGTCCAGGTCGGAGGGGGAGAAGTCGTGGATGGACATCAGCGAGGTGGGGCAGATCTGCGTCCCGTTGATTTCTGCAGGGAGCAGAGGAAAAGCGGGAGGCAGGTTAGAGGAAAGGGAAGGCAAAGAGGGATGCTAGAGCTGCACACCAAATTGGGGTTGGTTTGCTGCTGAGGGGGAGAGTCCCCAACCTCTCCCAGAAGAGAAGAAAATCTCGCTTTTGTTGAGAAACGAAGTAGGTCACGTTCAGCCAACGCGCGGTGAGGGATGCAGTGTCATTTGGGAGAGAAAAGGGATTATTTCAAACGTGAAACCTGCCGAGCCAGCCCTAATCCTTCAAAAGAACATCAAGGAAACACGGTCCCAGCACCGTAGCGCTGAAGATAACGTCAGTAACCGGCTCGTTGCTCGCCTCTGGATTTCCACGTGTTTCTCCCCACCCCAGGGTCTGCGCTATGGAAAATAAACCTGGGGATTCTTACGTTGTTACCCAACTCCAGGGACTGAAACCTTATAAAAGCTGGGTAAAATAGACAAAAAAAGAGCTGGGTCATGGTGTCCATGTGGGGAACTCCCTATGGAAAGTCCTAGCAGGACCTGGGTACCAGGTGTGCATGAAGCCAGCAGCAGCCACCACCTACACCCCAAGCTCCCCTTTGGCTCCAGTTTGGTGGTGCTTAAATAAAATGCACATTAAGCAGCATCTGAAGCAAATTTTCACCACTGTGTCATTATTCCCTGGGAACCAAGCCCCTGCAAGAAGGGATGTGGCTTTGTGAGGGTTTTGTCCCTCTCCCTGGCATCACATCCCATAACGCTGTTAGTGTTTGCCTGCAAAGAGCACTGTGCCTATGTTCAGTGCCCTGTTTGGGCAGGAGCCATCCCACTAAAGCTTCTCTGTGATTTTACAGCCCCTCTTTGGCAGCGGACCACTCATACACCTAAAGACACCGCCATCCCCGCACGATGAACACCGCAGCGTGGCAGCACTTGTGGCACATCGCTTGTGGGGACCAGGCTGTGTCGCAGGCGAGAAATGGCCTGGGTGGGTCCTGCAGCCCCCATACACCCCACCACAGCCCCCATACACCCCATGACAGCCAGAAATGGAAGATCCCAGCACAAATTTCCTGGTTTTCTGGCAGGAGCGACGCATTCTTGCTTCCCACAAACAGCAAGGACAGCAGGTTGCTGGTCCTCTAATAGCGGAAACATCTGGGGTGGCCAGGAATGGGTCTCTGCCTTCTTCTCGGATGCGCTAGCTGCGTTTACACGTTCCACAGGCCAGCACCTCTCCCATGAGATCGCACTGCTTCGCCTGGAACGGTGCGAAAGTGCCATTGCTTTGCCAAGGCAACCTCCATCGCAGCCTTGTTCTCCCTGTTCCTTCCTCCGCGAGGCTCAGCTCGGGAGCGAAGCTGGGTTATTTCTAACCATCTTGCCTGCGTGTTTGGCATCTGTTCTTAAAATATGTGCACAGACTCTCCTTTTTAAACATCCCTGTTTCCGAGCCCTGCTGGGAAGGAACCGCTTACATGGCAGGTGGCCCCAAAGAAGAGCTGCCCATGATGATGAAGCAGAAAAGCCTTGTAGCACAGGGGGGAATTTAGCTCTGCTCAGCTACCTCTGCTCCTCAGCTACCACCCTGGTCCTCACGTCACCCTTCCCCACATGCACATCCATCCTCCTCAGCGCCTTGTTCACCTACAAAGAGCCCCCAGCTCATCTCACCACCCCTCTGAAGTTCACATCCCACTGGGTGATAAATGGCCTTTTTTAACAAAAAGCTTGCCATCCTCAAGCCCGTCTGCTCGCCCACGACCCCCCGACCGGTCGGTGTGACTCACTTTCAATGGAGTTGTTGTTCAGGTAGAGGTGCTCCAGCTTGGCACTGATGAAAGGGACGTTGGTGAGCTTGTTGTGGGCCAGGTGCAGCACCAGCAGGTTGGTGAGGTTGAAGGAGTTTTTGGGGAGCCCCTTGTCAGAGATCTGGTTGTAGTTGAGCCGGATGAACGCCAGGTTGGGGAACTCCTTGAAGTAGTCACTGGGGATGTCCTCAATGTTGTTCCTGTCCAGGAAGAGCTGGTGTATGGCGCTGGGCACCCCGGGGGGCATTTTCCTCAGGATGTTGTGGGCGAGGTTGAGTTGCATGAGGTTCTTGAGTCCCTTGAAGGTGTTTTTGTTGAAGACCCCATCGCTTAGCTTGTTGTGGTGCAGATCCAGGAGCACCAGGTTCTCCAGCTTGTTGAAGACCCCAGCGGGGATCTTGGAGATCTGGTTCCTGCTCAGACGCAGCTGCTCCAGGTTGGGCGGCAAGAAAGCAGGCACCTCCTTGAGCTGGTTCTTCTCCATGTAGAGGAAGATGAGGTTTTCCAGCTTCTCCAGCACCCGCCTGTCCACCTTCCGGATGCGGTTGTTGTCTAGGTTGACCCATTTCAGCCCGGTGGCGTTCCTGAAGGACTCCTCGGGGAGGTCGTCGATGAAGTTGTTCTGGAGGTAGAGGTAGTGGATGCGGGACGGGATGATGGGGACCTTCCGCAGGTTGCGGCTGTCACAGTAGAGGGCAGAGGGGAAGTCCGGGGGGCAGTAGCATTCTCGGGGGCAGTCGGGGAAGATGGAGGGGGGACCCGGTG